ATCCATCAGATACACTGAAGCCGTCTAGTCCAGTGTGCTCTCTCTCCTCTCCCGTTGCTCCACCTCCAGTGCACCATGTCTCTGACATCAGCTGTCGGTGTTTCCCTCATGATTAGGCCCCTCCCCCACATACGGAATGGCGTCTGCACCTTCATCCCTCAGGGGAACCCCATGTTTGCCCGTGACCTGTTCATCTTCCCCAAGAACGCAGAGAGCTGTCAGATTGGTGAGTCTGACGTGAGGGGCCAGGGCTTCAGGGTCCTGACAGGCCCCAGTGTGCTCCCTTCAAGTCGAGTTATCATAGCGGTTACTGGTTTTTAAGTGGTGACTTCCCCGCCCCCAGCAGCTTTGACCTGTGGAGTAAACAGTTCCAGATGGTTCTGTAACGAGCTACTTCCTGTAACAGCCCACTGGATGTTGATTGCCCTTCAGTGCTGCCTGGATTATAAGGCTGGAATAAGCTATTCTTTGTTCGGATTCTGATCGCTCACATTTGGCCTTAACCCTACCCCAGACATCATTTTCTGCTCCCGTTTCGTCATCTGCGTTCACCCCCAGGCAGCTTTCGGTCTGTAATGGCTTCCTGCACTCACTTTCAGTTTTCGGCAACCTCTTGGGGGACACCATCCTGGTGGACAGTCTGGATGCCGCAAACCACTACCGCAAAGGGGTGAGTTGGGGTGCTGCTGGCCCACGGGCCTCGTCAGCTTGAGGGTGACCGTGATTCTCTGACGGTACTGTGTAATGTGAGGGTATCAGTCGCTCAAATGCTGAACGTGAGTGTTGTTTATGCATGTCATCATATCCAGCAGCATTTATGTAGTTATGGTGCCCATTTGGAGCCCAGCCCAAAATGCCTGATTTCCAATGTAGCATTACATCATCTTTGCTGATGACATCAGCTTGCTGGTTCTTGAGGATTAACAAACAGCCCGAAGGCAACCATGTTTGTAGTTGTGTAGCTAAATATCACCCATATTGATTAGCTGGCACAAGTTTGATGTCCCCTTTTTTCGTCCTCCAACAATCAGCAGGCTGTTCAGGGGTGCATGGCTTACTTGAATTTCCAGTGGGGCTCAGTAAAGTATTTCATATACTCACACTCACACTCTCACACACACACACACACACACACACTCTCTCTCTCTCTCTCTCTCTCTCTCTCTCTCATATATACTGAGCAGGGAATATGGGTTTATTTGAGTACAGTGACCATATGCAGGGATGGACATAACTGGTACGCATTCACCTTTAAAAGCCATACGCGTGACAATCGATTGTGGTAACAGTGCATTTTGTGTGCATTTTGCATTGATATGAAAACCACTATCATGCATTTTAATCTTTATATGTTAACTACTTCATTTGAGGTATACAGGTTAAAATGAAAGGTATTTTCTTGTCATAGCCGCACAAATACAATCGATTGTCGCACGCATCGTTCTTAAACAGGAATGTCTACTTGTGTACCAGTTATGTCCATCCCTGACCATATGGGACAGGATGTGCTTCACATTTGCCTTTGTGGGCTTCATTTGATCCTATAGTTGGACACCCCTCCCCCAGGTTGTTCAAAGTAAAATGCAGTGCCCCTTCCCCCAGGTTGTTCAAAGATAAATGCAGTGCCCCCTCCCCCAGGTTGTTCAAAGTAAAATGCAGTGCCCCCTCCCCCAGGTTGTTCAAAGTAAAATGCAGTGCCCCCTCCCCCAGGTTGTTCAAAGTAAAATGCAGTGCCCTACCCTGCTGACCCGACACGGGGAGCGAGTGCGCAGTAACGGCAAGTTTGGAGGCCTGCAGAACAAGGCCCCACCCATCGAGAAGCTCCGGGGCCAGGTGTTCGCTGCCCCACCTCCCCAGCAATACTACACACTTTGCGGGGAGATTGGTGAGTGCATTCGTCGATGGCTTTGGTCCCTGATGCTAATTGACGAAAGAGAACCTAAAGCAGAGCTGCTAATGTAGCCATGGCAACTGTGACACGGTTGTCATAGTAATTCTTCTAATATCACTGCACCCAGTATTTCTGAGGTGAACGACGAGGGCAGACCCATCACTAGGGTGTTTCTCAGTTTGCGTACTTGACCGTACTTTTCTTCTCGTGTATCCATTTTACATCATCATCATCTATTGTCGAAGACTAGTTCATATACTCAAGAACACAAGTACACGAGGACGGTAAAAGTCCCCAGATGTCATTCTTGCCCTGCCACGAATATCAAGGATCGGTTTCATCCTCGCCAAACGATACCAATCGCATGATTGACTTTGCCCAAGTTCATTCTTGGGAGGCAAGTTGGCAAGACCGGTCTTGCAAAGACCACAAGTACGATCTTTGCTCCCCTTGTGCTGCCGCTTGTGTATTAACCTGCAGCTGCTTTAGCGTAATGTCGCTCCCTGGGCCTGGCTGCCTCATGCTGCTGGCCTCAGATCTCCTCCAGCAGTACAGGATGGCCATGGTGAAGAGCCAGGAGACGAGAGAGGAGTACGAGTGCCACCTGGAGCACCTGCGCTCCCCCGAGATGGTGCAGAAGGAGCAGGAGCTGAAGGAGCAGGAGCAGCAGCTCAAAGACATCGAGACGACACTGGGTATGGCCACCTGCCACCAACCAGTCGGGCTTTAGAGCACCAATGCCTCCATATGTGTCCAGATGTGACAGGGGAGTGTTTGAAATATTCGGTCCCCCCCCATTCTCAGGCATGTCCATGTCCAGGAAGTCGAAAGGTCCCGGGACGAAGCGGTCCAGTCAAGGGGACGGCTCGGACATGAACCCCAAGAGACTGCGACGAGACAGCAGATCCTCAGTGTATGTATCGTGGGTGGACTTGAGGTCCTTATCCAGGATGGCATGTTTCTTAACCGATCCAGTGTGACGTTTGTAGAGTGTGACATGAGCAGTTGATGGATGGATCACTTAAGAAGAGTGACAGAGGGTCCATATAATGTCATTCTGTGTTTTAGGGGTCATCATTTTTCATTTTTATCTTTCAGGTCCGAATCTTCTCACAGCATGGGGACAAGAAGAAGAACCTCTTAAAAGTGCAAATATTTTCCAATCTCTGAATTTATTTATTAGTATGTAAATGCTGGAATTTGTACATTTTTCATGATAATGATGATTTTTTAAATTGCTAAAACGGGTGTCTGCTGAGTATGTTTATAAGTAACGCTCGAGCACCTTTGATTCCGTTTCTCATGCCGATCCTTAGATTTGACACGTTTCCCTGCTTGTTTTTGCTGTTAATATAAGATGTAATTATCAACATCCATCCTATTAAAAGCTGCTTGCATCGTTTTTTTTTTTTTGTTTTTGTTTTTTTCAGTTTTTTTTTTAAAGTAAAATGAAGCGGCTACCTTTGTACACTTTTTAGTAGAATAAATGTTTAAAAAAATGGTGTCACGATGCTGGAGAATGTCGGTCTGGTCTGGTCTGGTCTGAATGAGCAGCAGGTTCTCTAGACAGGCGGCAGACTGTGGAACGCCAGTGTCCTGAATCAGCAAAGAAAACCAAATTACTGGTGAGAAAGGAGAGAAAAACATCCTAATCCCAGGCTGCTGCCACGTCTCGGGTCTTGAGCAGCCTGTGAGATGCAGTGTAGTCTGGAATCGTCCTTTGGAAGAGCTTCCCTGACCTCTCTGACCTTCCAGTGCTGTGACTACACCTGCACCAGGTTTGAAGGGCGGGCAGTTACCTACCAAAGGTACTGGAGTAAAGGGCTTTATGATCTTATGCACTCACTGCTCTGGAAGGCCCCCTGCAGGAGATCTGGGTACCAGTTTTCTTTGGGGTATCTGCATCTTCTCAATAGTCGCTGCTTCTTTGGCGCTAAAACATTCAACATGTCACTGTGGGCATGAAAACTGGCTTCCTATTGCTGCCAACTGCACGGCACTTGGCAATATGGTAAAAATAATCATGTACCATGATATTGGGTCAGTTCATCAATAGTGGACTGGTTGTGGTATTTGCACCAAATATCGGTATGCATTTGTGTGGGTTAGGTATTTTTATTAATTGATAAAGATAGGCTTGGTTTTTGTAAGCATAATGTAAGTTTTACCCCAAGACAGCAGTGGAAATTTTCTAGAGCATCAATGTGAGAACGTTTACCAAATGGAAAAAGTTTTATGTAGTACCCTGAAGCTGTTAGATGTTGATGTATCTTAAAACGGCCTTCACATTTACCGGTAAGTCAGTGGATAGTCCGACCCAGTCAGCTGCGTACCGTGAATGGAGACTCCGTACCGGAGCCATTATTCCGAGCGACGGCTTAGGAGAGTTTGATTTTTTGGGGGGGGGGCAATATCTCACACTCCTACACCGTTGCTCCCAATGGGGGAACACAATGTAATTTAAATACAGTGGTCTTTGTTGGAGGGGATGGATGAATCTAAATTATGTTTTGGGGGATGCACGTCGCCAGGTTCCTACACCGCTGACTGCGTGGGATCAGCGCATCAGAGTTGCAAACTCCCATCCTCCCGCAAGCACCCTGGAAAAAACCGATGCTGGAGCTCCCCTTGTTATTTGCTGTCGGTCGATCAAGAGACCACTGATCCTGAGAGAAAAAAACGTGATTAATGGATACAGGATATGTATGTACAATAGGTTCAGTCGGCAATTAATATTTGACGTTTGATGGAACGGCGAAACTATTTTCAGCATTATGGTGCATTTCTTAATACCATTTTCACATTTGCTGGAATTTTCCAAGTTAATCTAAAAAAAAAAATAATAATAATCATTCTCCTTTCCAGTTTTGTAGTACGTACCGTGTTTGCTTCGGGGGGCGGGGGTGAACCGGGCTGATTTGGTACCAACATATATTGAAACCAAACCTGCGCCCTTGAGTTCCGTGTATCTTAGCCTAAGCTGTGATTAAAACACTTTTATCCGTTCATCTGAGTACCGATAATCACACTGAAATCGGTAAAGTGGGAATACGGATGGAAATGATCTGGGGAGCGGGTTTTTTTTTCTGTAGCCTTTGCGGGGGGTGGGGGGGTCGGAACCACGGACGTCACTTTCCAATAAGCTCCACTTCTTTGCAGAAGCTGTGTAGTTATTCAGCTTCGTCACTGAAGTATGGAGCTCTAAAGTCAGCTTTAACTTTTATTCAAACGAATGCGCGCAATTGAAATTTCTTACATCCCCACTTTTCCGTCCAGTATCGCAAGATGAAGTGCGTCGCAGCAGATCTGAGATTTAAATACGCAATATTATCTCTCTCTCTGACTTTCTCCTTTATCCATGGAACTCCGTCAAGATATAGTTTGTTTCAAGGTGCTCCTTATTCTGGGTCGGGACATAAACACGGGAATAAGTAAGTAACCAAACGTTTATGATTGAGTTGCTGGTTTGTGCTTGTAGTCGTTAATTATTGCATTTATACACCGCCCCCCCCCTCCGCGCGTTCCTTAATAGCGTGGCCTTAGTGTGAAAAAACTTAAGGAGCCAGATACACTTGCCCTATAATACATAAAGCTATTATTTTGGCTATATCCTTCCTTGTTATTTGCGTAAGTTTTTAAAGTTATTTATTTTTCTTTTCCATGTTACTATAATGTCTATGATGCCTCGAGCTTGTGTTGTATTAAACGTGTAATCAATACCTAGAAATATTTAATATTGCAGTGATTAAGCAGTAAAACAATTATGTGCAACAATGCATCGTAACTGTTTACGCATACAGTGATACAGGTATGTTAAGCATAAGGACAGTGTAGAAATGGCAGCTATTTCAGCCATATGCATTATTTTAATCAATTGCAGAAACTATTGTGCGTATGTCGTGCACAAGAACGTGACTTGCGCTGTCCTGGGGGATATGGAGACATTTGTGGAGCGCGAGGTCGCGCCTTGCCCCGCGTATCAGCCCCACTGCCCTCCGCAAGTGAGGTAAGGGTCCCGCGAGGCGAGGGAGGGAGGGAGGGTGGAAGACTGATGTTTTTATTGGTCCGCAGCTCAGTTGTGACATTTACTTAGCCAAGTCGTCGGTCATAAAAAGCAATAAACCTTTTCAAAATGATTACATGGGAGGCTAATATACCAACACTGCTCCAATATTCAGAGATAATGCTCCAGTAAATGTTTGTTTTTCTCCTTGGCAATCATGAGTAATGCTGTATAACACAACCCTGAACTAAATTTTACATATTCATAGAATTTCTAGGATCCATCCTAAGGTGGGTATTTGGACATGATGGGTGGGCACCAGTGTTCAAATTCTGTCAGAGGTCTTGGGGGGCCCCCTGCTGGACTCCCGTAGCCACGCCCCTGTTAGACATGCTACATGCTCAGCTGTCATTAACTTTGCTGATAGTGAAACCTGCATATGTCTGTGCTGGCTTTGTGCTGTGTGACGTCACGTCTCATGAGCAGGGCCGGCAGATATGTCGTATGCCAATATGACAGGACGGCCCTTGTTCACTTAAAGCAGCAAACGGAATTCAGATCGACTGCAGCCCATTGTGGACACTAAGGAAACTGCCATTATTCCGATTTAACCGGACGCGGACATTTCAAGTCCAGAAAGTAAAAATCCAAACCAGGATTTTGGTTCAACCAACCAGGTGACTATAAAGAGTCACAATCACATTGTACTCAACTGGTTGGTTGAAACAAAATCCTGGTTTGGATTTTTACTTTCTGGGCCTGAAATGTCCGCCTCTGGATTTAACCTGATGTGTTTGGAGAATCACAAACAATCCCTACACTTAGAGTCCCTGTTCTATACCACTGGCACATTTCCAGACCTAAGGCCATCCATCTGTCATCAAGCAACTGTCTCATTCTGTGACCACAAAGCAATGATTTGTAACCAGTATGTTGTTCTTCGAATGAAAACATGTAAAAATCTATGGTTTAATGGCCTTTCCTTGTTGTCACTATAAACATGCAGTCTACACTAAACAAATCAACAGAATAATATTTTCTAGTGTTTCCTCATAACATTTGCTGGCCATAAGGGACTAGTGCAGACAGAAGGATTGGTCTGTGTAGCCAGTTTTTTTGACAAGGTGTAAATTGTGGGTACTGTGAACGATTTGCCTAAAAACCGCTTGTAATTAAGAACTGGCAGCAGGCCCTGGAAATTGTTGTCATAAATGACATTCTGTTGCTGGAATTCTGAATGCTCCAAATATCTCCACTCCAGTTATGGTACAATGGCCTGTTTAGAGGCGTTTGGGATTTGAGGGAAATTTTTAAAGGTCTTTTGTGATTGGAGTTCAGAAATAAATCAGGATTTCTGCACTGTCTCTTCACTACACCGCAGATGACTTTTTGGTCTGGTCTTGATAAGGACCTTGCTGGGATTGCATGGTTTGCAAGGTTCCATCTTCAGATCACCCATCTCCTGACATAGCCAATGGCCAGAATCGCCTTTTCTTAAATGCTCTATCACTCTTCAAACAAGCACAATCGAAGAGCAAGTTTTGATGAGACATGAGTCAGTGAAGTCAGCCTTCCTCATCATATGTTACAGCATCAGGAACCAAATCTCATTCAGTCCTCAGGACTGGACTTTCATTAAAATTTCCAAACCCCACTAAGTCCATAGAAGTTTTCTAGAAAACGTATCCTGTGGACTGAGTGAGTTTTGGAAATTTGCTCTTTAGTTACACATCTCAAACTTTCATACTTGGTTTTTACTACTCAACATGTTTAGGTTGACGACATTTCCAGTCTCTCATTACCACTGGCTGCCAGGTTAAGTATGAATTATAAGGTCTTGGTGCTGCAATTATAAAGTGATATGAGATCGATTTGCCCTGACTTTCACCTTCAACCAAAATGCTCACTCCAAGCTCCAGGATCAACAAAACCCGAGTCTCTCCTCTCTGTATACATCCACGCAGTGTCCCTCCTGGGCTGAACTGAACTAACTTATTCTCAGGAATCATAAACAAGCATAATTTTTGTACTGTGTGCTTTATTATAAAATTGATACTTTGTATAAATGTGCTTTGTCTCCAGAACTCGTATTATTTAATTTATTTTAGATGATAATTGTAACGAGTACGTGAGCAGAGGATCATTTGATTCCAGACAGAGGACAGTAGTATGCTGCCACACTCAGGCAAAACACCATAACTGCGTATATTATCGATGATGAGATATTGACCAAATATCAAACACTAAAGCTCTGTTTTATTTCTTGACAAGATGTCTTTTTTATCTGTGCTCAGTTTTGAGGAAAATGTTATCATTTGCCTACCTACTACACATCGAAGCCCCTTTTCTCAGTTTCAGTGTCATCGTAGTTACTGTGTTTCTCCTTCGTAGGGCAGTAAAGCCAGGGATGTCTTCTCCCTGGCATGGAGATGAGCTTTTTTCCCCATTTACCAGGATACTCCCACAGGAGTGAAGGCGGTGCAGGAGTCTGTCCAGGGACACATGTTTCTAGAACTGTTGGGCGCTTTTGCTACTCGAACCGGAAAGTTACATTGGAAATACTGAACTGCGCAAAAGTCTTAAGCAGTCAAAGAAAATGTTTAAAAGTTATTTATCTGGATGGTAAGTGTATATGTATCCTCAGAAGAAAAACACAATTCAAGTTCAAATCACAATTCAAATAGAACATATGCAAATTAACAGTAACACAATAAAAAAAATAGATTTTCTTCTGTTCTCCAAGAAGTCACATATCTTGTTGGATGGCTAGATGATCACCTCTTCAGTTCCCAAACCTCTCCACAGCAGCACCTCAGCCATTCCATGTATTCATTAAATTCCACCACCAGCTCAATTATGAGTTAATTAGTTAAATATCTCAACAAGGTATTGATTAGCCATACAAGGTGTACAGCGGTCTAGTCAGAATACGTGGCTGTTTTGGGCTGTTGCTGCACATACTGGGCTGACGAAACTAGAGGCATTGAAATGCCTAATCTGAGACACTTTGATGGACATCATACCGTAATTTAGCACCAACATGAAGATCATTTAAAGCATCATTTACTCTGGCTGCCTCAGACTTTTGCACAGTGCTGCATGTGTGTTTGAAAGTTACGATGTGCATAAATAATAAGCACTGCGTCAGCTGGGTTTGCTGACGCCAACTGAAAGACACTTATACCGAAGGCTGTAGTTTATATAAATTCTGTATTTTTTCCCCCATGCTGTTCATATTGAAATAGATTACTTCATTTTGGTAGTTCTTCCAGTCTTATGAGCTCTTTGATTGCGGTTCCTCAGGATAGTGGCACGTCTCCATCTGTAATCTGTTCTGTAAACAGGCGTGATTACAGGGAAGCAGGTAACGCAGCGTTTTGGGAGCTGGGCCATCCCGAAAAGACTGCGTGGGACCTACTGCTGGGCTCTGCACCTAACCTGAACTGTTTAAGGAAGAATCCAGCTGTGTATAGGAGTGAAGCTGAATACGCCTGACCCCTTGTATCGCATTCAATAGAGGCTTCTGTTAAGATTTTAAGTACCACAGATGTTTTATAGCTAATATTATTATTGCAGTAGTTAAATGCAAAGGTAATTTATAGGTAATTTACAAATGCTCACTAAGTGGATGCTTGCCAAAGGATAGCTGTCTGCTCAGATGATCACGCCGCCCCTGAGATCAACATGGCCTAAACACGGAGAACCGGCCATGATGCGTAAGGGCACAGAGGAGCAGATGATTAGCTGATGCCCTCTGTCGTGGCACAGGTATCACATGCAGTACCGGTCCATGTACAAGATTGGCTACAAGATGGTGACAGAGCTGGAGTGGAGGTGCTGCCCAGGATACCAGGGCCCAGACTGCAAGGAGCTGAAAGATGGTGCCCCCAGGCAGGTGCTGTGGGAACCTCAGCCTACTCCACACAGTCCAGGACCAGTGGACCACAAACCGAGTAAGACCTGAATATAGTCATTCAAAGAACTTGGACCGCAAAAACTACCACAGATCGAACATTCTACCTGAGTCAAGTGTCTGTCCGTTATCGAGACTCTTGATCCCTAGTGTTCAGAAGTCCTTGGGCTTCCACTCTTACTAACTCTCAGCTTAGTTAGTGAGTGACCTTCATCCCATAAGGATGGAGAAAGGACAAGACTTTCAGGGGCTCAGATACTAGGGGGTGCCCATGAGAAATTCTGTGGCTCTGCCCATTGGTAGACTGAAATGTTTTCCCTGTGGATTTCTTGTGTCTTAAAGGGCCTGAGTTACAAGGAACAGCGATCCCCAACCAGCAGCAGTATAATGGTGAGAGAGGGGACACAGTGAACTACCTTGAGGATGAGGTCCAACGCCTCTCCCAGACGGTCCTCGACATGCAGGCTGCCATGACGGGTATGAGCGAGAACCTCCGGGTGAGCTTCCAGGAGGATGCCAGCAAGATGCTCATGGCTCTCCGGAGTGAGCTACGTATGCCTAATGCGGCACTGGCTGGAACCACTGAGACCATACAGCTGCCTGACCACATGGCAGGTGTTGAGGCCGAGGGAATAGAGGAGGTGAGGGCAAAGCTTACTGACGTAACCGATGCCCTGAGGAACAAGAACAATGCTCTGGATGAGCTTCGTGGCACTGTGGAGACGCACGACAGTCAGATCCGGGTCCTCATGGAGGCTAACCGGGGATCCATGGATCATGCTGCCATCCCAACCCCAGCACCTTCAGCACCAACTGAGGATTCCCTCCAAACGTATATTGACCAAAAGATCAAGGACCTGAAGGAGGAGCTTATGGAGGGCATTGAGATCAAGATGGCTGACCTTAAAGGGTCCTGCGAGTACAAGATGATGTCGGTACAGGAACAGTGTGAGGAACGTGAGGCTAACTACGTCAGCCTTACTGAGCTCGTGGAATCCACGGAGGCTGACCTAAGGAAGGAGATTGAAGATCTCCGCCTCGAACTTAGTGAGTTCAGGACCAATGGGCAAGCTGCAGCCACTGAGTGGCCAACAGGTATGAAGGATCTCCAGAAGAAGATGGAGCACATTGCAGAGGCTCACCACGCCCTCAATGCTCGGTTGCATGGTGAGATAGATTTACTCTCTATGCCACAAATTGAAAATGCTCTCAGTGCCCGTCTGGAGGACCTGGAGGCTCGGATCAACATCAGCGAGAGAAACTCAGAGATGCACTGCTTTTCCATAGAGAAGAAGCTGACACAAATCATTCAAGAGTGCACAGCAGAACTTCGGGACTTGACGATCAAAGATCTTAGGTCAATGGGAGACCAGTTAATGACCATGCAAATGGGAATGAATGACTCTTTCGTCGTTGGGAATTGCAGTGAGAGATTTGAAAATTTAGAGAATGAAGTGAGCTCCAACAAGCAGCTCATCCAGCATCTTGAAAATAACTTGAATGTAATGAGTAATTCATGTTCTATAGAGTGCAAATCAGATGTGTATAACAAAATCACCCAGGATCTTAACATCTTTCGGCTCGAGATGATGCAATCTGAAGTTAGCAGTAATTCTGAGAAGATGAGAGATCTTGAGGACCTAGTTCAGGCACTGCTGGCAATTAGCAGTCCAAACAGCAGGAATATTTCGACCTTGCTGGACATGGTTGACTCCCTGAAGACTGATGTAGGGACTTTAAGAGATGTAGTTTCTGGCTTGGGTGATTCACTGAATGATTACTCAAATGACCTGCAACACATTAACTCTACCTGTGGGAAGATGCAGGCGCAAGAGGCACAGGAGCAGGTGGACAGGGGGTTGTCCCAGGCAGCCATCAATGAGACCCAGTTGGAAGAGCTTAGGTACCGGCTGAAGCTACTTGCCAGTCAGGTGGGGGTGGAACTTAGCCAATGCAAGGACACCGCTGAAGGGATCCGAAAAGACGTGATTGGAGTGGACAACCGAGTATCTGGTATGGAGGCTGTGTGTGGCAAGCTGGATGGTGTCAGCAACAGCCTTCAGAGAATCAAGGATGGGCTGAACAAGCATGTGACTGCCCTGTGGACCTGCATACATCAGTTCAACAGCACCCTGAGGTTCCATTCAAGGGATATCATTGGGCTCAAGGGCTCTCTTCAGAACTTCCAAGAACAGCTCTCTACGATCGCCAAGGAGATGCAAGACCTTGGGACCAGAGCACTCATTGGCTCGGGTAAGTATTATAAATTGAGATGGCCTAGAAGTTTGTAAATGCTTATTCAAGTTTTGGAAATTCTGTCGTTATGTATGATGATTGGAGATGTGTGTCAGGGCTTCTTCTGGAATGTCTTAAACAGCTGAAGCCAAGTTTTGTAACCTGAGCTTTGTCATTGGTCCAGAGCTGGTAGCTCATGAGCCAAAATTAGATCTCAATTAGGCGCAGCTGAAAAAAAGGATGTCACAAGATGCCTCCCTGAAATGCTTTCTCACAGAAGAATCGTTCAAGTTGGCTCTCTATATTCCAGCTTTTTCGGGGAAAACCCGGTCTCCCATTTGAGAACCTTGGATGCCAAGAGTGCAGAGGTGATTGAACACACATGGCCGTTTTTAACTGTACGGCTTTGGTGTTGCGCTATACTTGGCTCCTTGGGGGGCTCTTATTCCAAGTGTGGTACGAAAGCAGCCCATCTGTTATTCATCTGTTTTTTTCTCCTTCCCTAAGACAAACCCTTGTTGTTCCATCCAAGATGATTTTGAATGACAAACACAGTGGTCACCCAGCTCTTATTTCGGCAGAAGGGTGGTACATCCGGCCCCCTTCAGGAGACGAGTGTTCGAGGCAAATTTGTCAAGCTTATGGCTGCGACCCCCTGTTCTGGGGCCAGCTGTATGTGACTCACTTGGTTACAGAGCTCTTGGGGATTTTATTGATATTACATCAAGGGGAGGAGGGGCATAGCCAAGGAAAGTTACTGTTGCTGCATGCTGGCCACTACTTGGGGAGTAGTGTGATAGTGTGACAGTTTTCCAGGCTTGCTGTTGTCATTAAATAAATGTAATGCAGGAATACAGGAATATTATCTTGGATGCCCTGTGGTTTCTTACTTATCTCCAGCTACTGCGGTAATACTAGCAAATATACAAAATGGAACTGTCCTGTCCCTGATAAAAGCTGCTTTGCTTCAAGCTTGCTAAGCACTTCAGTGTTAAGACTTTTTGATTGGTTCATACCAACTGGCAAGTCGAGGCACCTAAGACAATGGTGACGCCCATCCATGCAGATGTGTCACCTGACATCCTGCTGCTGAGATCATACGCCAGTTGCTGAGAAGGGCGAGGCCTCCAGTGAACACTCACTCCTATGGAATATTTATCTAATGAGGCACTAATGGAGGATAATTTGACCAATGAGAGTATGGAGAATTGTGAAGTCTGTGACCTCATATTATAATTACCCATCAATAGTTGTGAAAAATGGGAAAAAAAAAAAATATATATATAATATATAATAAATTACAAGCTGATGGCCTCCAGTCGGTAAGGAGCACTTGGAAAGCTGTGTTGGATAAAATAAACAGCTTTGAAACTGCCCCCGGGCCCCTGTTTCTTAAAGACAGACACTCCCCCTTCCTTGTGAGTCAGCCATGAAAGACTCCTACCACACCACCCGCAGATGCACTGCAGCGATTCACTGAGAACGGCGCCTTTTAATGTGGCGTGCTACTGCAATCAATCACACTGTGATAACCCTGTAGTCTTTCCTCTTAACCTTAGCCTTGCCAAACATCGTATACACAGTGTCTTACATTTGTATGCACAGTCTGTCAGCTGACATGGTGACATCACTTAGAGCCGAACTAAACTTGCAGACAGATGTAACCATTTGTGGTATCGTTTGCTCATTCGATTCACAATTTTTCGATGCCAAATAACCAATTTGCCCATCTGGCTTATTTGAAAGATGAGAATAGATTGTTTTATTACTATCCCGTCTATTCCTGACCAGCCTGTGTTTTGCTGCCAGTCCTTATACAGTAATATGGCCCTGGTCAAGTCCATGGTGTAGCATCTTTTCTTCAATGTTGTGGGTCACCTACCAAGCCAGAGCTGTTATGACGATTCGTTTTGTTCTAGCCATTGGGTAGCAGGTTACAACTCCACATGATTAACTAAATACTACATTTATATACATATGACAAGCACACACAATGTGTGAAAAATTCCTCTTTCAAACTGGGTAAAATTCAGAATGTGGGCCAACATTTCACTTATTCATTGTTTCCCTCCAAAGGGATTGGAGAAACGATCTGATAACTCATTTTCTTCTGCACTTATAATAGGAAACATGTACACTCTTTGTCAAGGATCGGTTAGTGTTAACAATGGTGTAGTTCTCTCCCTATGTATGCAATATGTACAGTCGTTCCTTTGAATCCATGGGGAATTTGTTCCAGGACCCCCATGGATAACAAAATCCAAGGATACTAAAGTCTCTTATACAACCCGAGGACAAAATTAAGTGACTACAGCAGTCTTTTTGTTTCACTTTTTTCCTCAATTTATGGGTGTGTGTCTGTGAATAATATATAATTTGTGTTTGCAAACTGCAGCCTGGTTCTTCTCTCTTTCTCATTAATGAAGGGCTTCTTCCTCGCTTTTTGGGACTTCAGTCCTGCTTCTAGGAGCCTGATATGAACTGTCCTAGCAGTGCACTTCACACCTGCACTTAATGCTTCCCATTCCTTTTGAAGGTCATTTGATGACATCCTCCAATTCATGAGAAACTTGGATAAGTTGACGGTCATCTCTGCCATTAGTAAATCACTTCCGCCCTTTACCTGGTTCCCAGTGTCTCCTGCTTCATTTTACTCTTGTGTGCTGCTGTCATATATTTTGAACCTGGAAGCATCCTGCTGCTCAGTGTAGCCTTCTGCTAGCAGGACCACGATTAAACCAGGATTTAAAAATACAGATTTGTTTAAAAATGTAGAGCGGTCTCTTAATTTTTCCACGGCCGTAAAAATATGGATGGGTAAGATGGAGGGATATGGAATTCACTGAGAGGTTAATGATACATCTAATATATCAGCTGTTAGTCAGTGATACATCAGAGTAGAATTGCAGCCACAGATGTTTTTCTGGACTCTGGGTGTGGTGCAGAAGATGGGGAGATGCTCTGTGTCACGGTCTGATCATTTATTGCAGCTAGTGTCTGTGGAGATGTCAACAGCTGTGGCTGTACAGTGTGATTTTGAGGTGCCCAGGGGGATGACTCTAACTCAGTGCACAGGGGACTCCTTTTTCCCAGTTGATTCCCATTAGGGGAACATAAACGGCTCTTATGGGGTCTTGAGTCCCACTTTATGGTTGCTGGACTGGGGTCAGGCTGAGGAGGGTTTTTGAATTAAGCCATTTAGAGATTGTCCCCTAAAATTTAGCTGTGATTGGAGGGTACTGATTTATACCTTTACAAACAAGTCTGATGTGTGTGGGAGCTTAATAGAGCAAACTCCCTGAAGCATCGTGGGTAAGCACCCTGCCCCCTCTCAAGCCTCTAATGAGATTGCTGACCACCGGGTTGCCCTGTTGCATTTGTACATGTGCTGCCCATTAAAGACCCCCCTGCACTTCCTTGAAAGGGGATCCCCCATATCAGCATGTTTAAGTCAAGCTGAGCAACCAGGCAGCAGAATTGCTGATAAACACACATGAATGTGTTTTAAAGTGGGGGGGCAGGTTTCCACTGTGGCCATCCACGGGAATGAGACAACAGGGGGATTCTACTGCCTCTCCTGCCAAGGGGTAATAGATGGACGTGCCTGCCTTCAGCTCATAGAAGATTGGCTGCAGACTGCGTTGGTCACGGGTGATCATTTCAGGAAGCTCACGAGAAGGCTCAGCTAGAAGGCCCACTTTCTTAAGGACAACCAGCACCAGGCTTCGAGATCTTTGGCATCTCCATTGGTCATCTGAAGGTTTCAAGCTGACGTGGCAACCAATGATGCAGCATACCCTGCGATGATGCAGCATACCCTGCAGATGATGCAGCATACCCTGCGATGATGCAGCATACCCTGCAGATGATGCAGCATACCCTGCGATGATGCAGCATACCCTGCGACATACCCTGCAGATGATGCAGCATACCCTGCAGATGTCCGTGAATGGGGGGAGCCTGTCTCACTGGCCCCCTGCAAGGTTCTGCCCTGTACACATTTATGGGGTGGCGTTGGTCACCACAATCCCAAGTTTTGATGTTTCCTCAGACCTTGCCACCCCCAGGGATTTATGGGAGAAATCATTGGGTCATTATGAAATGTTATGGCTGGATTTTGGTGAACAAGAGATGTGAATTTTGTGTTCTCGAGATTCTCTAAGAAGAAGCATAGACCCAAAGATTCTGAGAGAGCCATGGATTCCTGGACCTTCTCATTTCCTATCTTCTGGACAGCAGATGGTTTGGGAACCAGATTTACCAGCAATTGCAATTTGAACCTTTAAATCACTGCAGTTTTGTAATATCGTGGGCTCTAAAACATCTGCTTCACAGGTGGTAAAGATGTCACAGAAACGTAATGCACAAATAATGTTATAAAAGTAGAATTCAGACTAAATCGGTATAAACCAATATGCTTTAATTGATCAACTCAGTCATTACATTCATAGGTATCTCTTATCTGCTCTGGTTGTCCACTGCTAAGCTCCTTGTGTGCTTACAGTTTGCTCAGAGAGTTGCGCATGTCCCATGGTCTTCTCAAAATTAATGTTACTGTGTTTCCACTGAGTGAGGCTCTCCTCCCAGAGACCAGCAGTTCCATTTTTGGCAAGGTTGGGGGACTGGCAACCACAACACAGATGTGTGTGGGCAAGGGAGGAGTTCTTCCTCATTGAGTGACGGAATTGAAAAGAGAGAGAGATGGATGGATGGCTGCTTGAGAGCTGGCCCTGAACAGAGTCGTTAGTTGGCTTATGTTCTCAGTGTGCGGTTGTTAGGCAAATTCTCCTGAGACCAGGACTGAATTTCTTTCATGGACCAGTCATGGGGTGACGTACATATGTGGAGAATACTGGAACAGGTCCTTCATTGTTAAGCACCAATCAAAGCAAGCGGGGAATGATGGGAATTCTTGGCTGTTCCATACTGGTTCTAAAATCATGATCTTCCATCGTTCCCATCCGCTGATTTCATCATGTTCACAGCTATGGTGGTCTGTCAATTTCCATCCGCAGTTGAGGTGGACGCGGAGACCTCCAGCCCTGCTCCTGACATCAAGACCAGCAGGTCACATGACCCCGCCACTCCCCTTGGCCGCCTCGCACCCCTGACCCCTCCTCCGGACTCTTCAACCCTCCCGGCTGCCCCCCAGCAGCCTGTACTGGAGACAGGCGAGGCGGGGCCCCCAGGCACTATGCACCGGGCAACCGGCAAACTCCCCCAGAGTGTCGGCAGCATGACTCCCATCATGGGCTTTGCCGGGGCACCAGGTAACAAGGAAGTGATGTCATTGTTTAGCACTTTAACCCACTTTTTCATTCTATTTGGTCATACTTATCCATCTCGATATGTTTAATCCCCATTAGGTTACCCTCCTCTCGTTTCTGCATCGAAGCCTCTCTCTCCAGGTGAGCACTTTTTCTTGTGAATTTTCTGTATGTCAAACTGAGCTCAGGTTGATGACCCTCACTTCCTCCTGCCTCCCATAGCTGTCCACTTACCACCGCAGACGGCCACTCCTGGAGCGGCTGCCACTCCAGGTACAGCTCTAAATACAAGGCGTGAAGCTCCCTCTGCTCATGAAACCGGAATGACCTATATGTCCCCTTCTAGGTACCAGTGTGGGGGCAGGGCCCTTCTCCTTCTCCGCCGGCCTCACCCTAGTCACCCCCCTCAATAGCACTGGCGTTATCCGTTTCAACAAGGTGCTAGTTAACGACGGAGGGCACTACGACCCCCTCACAGGTAGCCCCCCTATCAGAATCGATTGTGAATTGCTGTAGCCCCCCCAAAGCCACTTCCCATGTCTCACTGCTGCCCCCTTGTGGTCCACAGGGATCTTCACTGTGCCAGTGGACGGGCGATACCTGCTGACCGCCGTGCTGACGGCAGTGCAGGGCGAGCGTGTCGAGGCTGTGGTCTCTGTGTCCAGTCGCAGTGTGCAGAGGCTGAACACCAGTGGATATGGGCCTGATGGTGGACAGGGCTGCTTCTGCGGGGGATCTGCCCCCTTCAGCCTGATCCTCACCCTGAAGCGTGGGGACAGAGTGGGCCTGACCCTCACCACTGGCAGGCTGGCACCCTCCGATTCCAGCGTGGTCCTCTCCACCTTCTCTGCCATCTTCCTCTACCCGCCCCCAGTCAGCAGATAGCACCCCCACCCCAGCTAGTCACGTGACCTGGGCAACCAATCACAGATGGGTAAACAAACACTATGCAATTTTATTACTTGGAGACGTAATATATTTGCTCTTAAGCTATATTTGAAAAGTCTGCTCTAGTTTTTAATTACCAAATATAAAAATATTTTGTTTACATGATTCTGTAAGGATGGGGGACTGTAATCATCCTCATTTGGGGACCTACTGTAATTAAATGTTATAGACCTTTCATTTCATTTCAGTTTCCTGACATGTAAAGGTCCAAAAGTTCCATGTTTACATTCTGTCCTTTCTTAGAATAATTACAAATTACTATTGCTATGTTGAGTTGGGGTGTGCCTTGAATTGAAGGGCAGATATTTAAATGTTACACTCTACCCCATTATTTTACTGACCCCCAGCTCCAGTGCTGTCTGGTTGAATAGCAATGAAATTAATACTAGCAGTTCTTCAGCTATTTGGTCAGTTTAACGTGGTGTAGGAAAGTGACACCACACTAAATGTACATACACCAATCTGTAAATGTCAAAAATTCATTGAGTTTATAGTAACAGAGACAAAAGTTATAAAGTGCACCAGTTTAAAAAAAATAAAATCACAGAATATTTAAGATGAGGAAACCCAGATCCCGACAGAGTCTGATGGGACCGCCGCCCTGGGCTCACACAGATTCACAGATGCATCTTTTAACCACACAGATTCACATCCTTCCTCCAAGCAATTATCTAGTACTGGGTCCCCATGAGTCTGGAGCCCATCCCAGGAAGCACGAGCACAGTCAGCAGGCCATACACATGCGGTGGCCATGGAGAGCCCAGGAGCAGAGCTCATCGTGCTGGAAGTACGGGGTCACAGTGCCACCCACTGACTCGCTGCAGAACCGTACAACCTCTGCATTTCCTGGACCGGGGGCTTCAGAGGTGAAAAATACACAAGACAGCTGCAGCCTACCTGCAAAGAAGTGGCGTGTGGCTCAACAGGCCTGTAATCAGGTTACTGGTTCAAATTCCCTTCAGGCCCTTAAACCCGGTAGCTCCAGGGACATTGGCTGACCTGGCTTTCTGACCCTTACATGTGATTGCTTCACAACAGGGAAGCTTACACGTGTGTAGCTTTGTGTGGGGATAGGAAGGCTCTGCAGGATAGGCTGACATGCCTATAACACAAAGGGCTCCAGTTCAGATCCTGTGGCCAGCAAACTTTAGCAACCCCCACCCCCCCCTGCTTTTTCAGCTGCACATCGCTTTGTGAATGTCTGCTGAATGGATTTTAAAAAATTAAAACAAATTGCCCACACCATGGTTTTGACATCACTTGTTTATTATCTTTTCGTAATCTTAAACACAATACATATCTTGGCAAGTTCACTTAAACGAGGTACGATGCAATCATATCTTAAGCTTTACATTGAAAATATATTTTAACAAGTCTCCTTACCATAAAGTATACTTACAATTTAAAAAGGCATTTAAGATTGTGGCTGGGGCCAAAAAAATATCAATTTAAACCCTACAAACAAGTGCTACTGGCACCCTTAAAAGTATTATTAATTACTGGGTTAAGTGTGCGGGTCTCACACAGATTGATTACTTTCATAGAAAGAACAATCACATCACATACAAGTGCAGTCAGACACCCACCCACCCCAAAAACTTCATGAAACACTGACAGGAAGGAAGCTTGAACAGGATGTGCAACAGAAAACAGACAAACCAGACAGGTTAGGGTTTGCACTGCAACACAAACATGTTTTCAACATAAGTAATACTAAGTGTGGCTCGGCGGGAGAGCAAGGTATGATTGTGCTCTAAGTGTCCATGGATACACGTGTGCGCCCAGCCCACGTGTGCACAAGGGTGTCTGCTTGTGCAAGCCCCGCGGCATAATCACCTTGGATCTGCACCAGCATCACAACTCACTCTCAGGCATGCTAAGAAATGGTGTTACGTCTGACCGATCCCTGTGGGCAGAATCGGCCCCAGCTACAAAGTGACAACGTCTGAACCAAAGCATATACACTTTGCAGGGATGCGACGAATTACCCACATACACCATTAACTAGATAAAGTGTGCATCTGCCCTCACCCCCTACCCAACGCAGTGATGTGACCAAACACGTGCAATAGGGTGCCTCCCCCAAAACTAGGGGAGTCTGGGAACTGTATGAAGTGCTGGTCTGGAACAAAGCACACATGGGAAATACCACTTGGTTTAATCTCACTCTCTCTCACACACACTCTCTCACACACACACACGCACGCAAACATCCCCATGCCACACACATACTCGCTGCATGTAGCTGAACACAATTCCGAACCACTGAGAACACAACACCAGCATCGTCACCAAGTAAAAAATATAAGTATATATACTGAATATTATCCATCTCAGTGCTTTTTCCTGTCTTCAATATAAGGTAGCGGAACTAACCCGGCATCCCCCCTTGCATTGTCAGATTCAGATACACAGGTCTGAAAAGCAGCTTTTCCGGAAAGTGCCTTTACCACAATCAGATAACCATAAAGCCATCGGTCCTTCTCAAAGTGACATTCTAGGTGACAGCCTGCCTCCCCGCTCTCGAGGGGGGTGGGTTTGGGGGGGGGGGCGTGGCTCAGACCATAGCCCCACCCCCTCTCACAGCAGGTCGTCCATGCTGAGCTCAGGGATTGGCTGTCTCCAGAAGCAGAAGGAGCTGAACTCAGGGAAGCTGAAGGCGGAGCTCTGCTCCGTGCTCAGCAGCGGGAAGACGTGTTCCACCAGCTCGCTGAGCCGGCTGTACCTGAGGAGCGTCGGGGACACCTTTAATAAACAGAGCCCCCCAGGGTGTAGAGCACGGACATAGGCATGAGAGAGCACTCACGAGGACTTGTTGCCCTTGGTCTGCTCCTGGATGAGCTCGCCCTTGGGGTTCACTGTGAAGAGGCGGCATTCGGGCACGCCCACCTGCTTGTAGGCAAAGACATCCTGTGGTGGTGCAAGCAGGGGGTGGGATTCAGAACAAGGCCGCAAAATACTCACACACAGAGATACATTAGACACCCTCCTGAGGTCCAGCAATTCATCTCTGTCCCCTGTAGAGCACATTATGTTTTTGCTCATCTCTCATACTGCACATGCTACTCTGTAAATTCCTGTTTCTTAAAGAGGACAGTTAGAGATTTAAGGTGACGAGATGTGACCTTGCCAACCTCCTCTTCCTGGCAAAACAATATTTTTTAAATCAATACGATTTTTTTTCTCCCCTGGATCTCAAGAGGATAATTATACACGAAGTGTCCTAGTCCTCCTCGATCTTGACTGATTCTGCCCATTCGACAATCATGCTCTGATGGTTAAACAGGACCTCAACTTGCCCCAGATGTACGAGGTAACAATACTGGAGTCCGACTCACGTTGGGTCTGTTCCCGAATGCAGCATAGAATGGCTGCTGGTTCGGCAGGAACAGGTTCTTGATGTCTGTAAGGCATTCGATCTTGAACTTCTCTGGTTTCTTCTCGATGACCTCCCTACCAGGGTGACAAACGCAAGACATCCTGAGTCCCGCTAGCGTGGCGAGTCGCCACCCTGTCCTTCCCTGAAGTGGTACTTACTGGGGTCCCCCCTCCCCTGAAGTGGTACTTACCGGCGTCCCCCCCTCCCCTGAAGTGGTACTTACCGGTGGATGGCAGAGAACAGGCTGCTGGGAGACAGCATGAGGGGACCCCGGGGCAGGATGGTGCCACGGTCGTTCACCCAGTGCAGGTAGCCGCGCGTCATGTCTGCCATGCCGATGGCGCGTGCTGAGCAGTACAGGAACTTGTACCCGTTCCTGGGGGGGAAGGGAGAAAGTTCACCATAGCTATTCACTCTTAGGCAACTGGCACAGCCGCCCCGTCAAACGGGAATGAGAGTCTTAGCCAGATCCACAGAGCAGGTGACATGACACAGGCAGGCAGGCGTAACAGGAGCAGGGAGGAGGCGAGGGCCGAATCCCCCTGATCATTCGTATCAGTGTCTGCGCCTCCTTCCCGAGCTACTCACTCATGTACAGAGTGGTAGAGCTTCGCGATGCCCTGGTGGGTCCAGTCTTTGCCGAGCTGAGGGAGAATCTGCCCGAATACGTCAGACCTGAGGAAAAAAAGCAGCACGTTACTGTATACGGCTACAGCCTTGTTAGCCGAGATGGGAGGGCTTATTCACAAAGGCAATACCGCTGAATATCACACAGGCCTGGCACTCTACAGGAAACACTAACTTTAAAGACACATTGATAAAACCTGGAACATGATAGCAGCCTTCAATTTAGTTTGAATTAAAAGACTGGTAGGAAAACAGGCTGTGTATCTTAGATCATGAAGGAAAGTATAATAATGAGTAATTTAAAATTATGAAACGAGTAACTTTAAATCTCAAAAATAAAAAGGTACTACCCTCCTGTACCTCTATGGACCTCCAAATTTCACCATTACAGAGAGACCAACAATGCCTTTCCTCCAGTCACCCAGAGAACCCCGACTGAGATAACAGAGAGGCGGCTCGCCTACTTGGTGATGGTCCCGTCGATGTCAGAGATGACGACCTTGTCATCCCAGTTCCATAGGTAGATGGTCCCCTCACAGCGGCAGGTGCCCTGGTACTGAGTGGTGATGCTGAACGTCACGTCGTTGGGGCCCTCCTTCAGGCCCAGCTTGGCCTGTGGGTGGAGACATGGGGGGTCACATGACTACACGCTTCACACTGTATGGACAGAGAGCTGGCTATTACACCCACAGGACATTTTATGACACCTCACTGTAAATCCATAGCAGGGGTGGGGAACCTGTTCCATGGAGGGCTGGTGTGGGTGTGGGTTTTTGGGATGACCTCTCAATCAGCCAATAATAAAGCAGTGGTTCTCAACTCCAGTCCCGGGGACCCACTGTTATTGGCTGATTGAGAGGCCATCACAAAAACCTGCACCCAGACCGGCCCCCCATGGATCAGGTTCCCCACCCCTGATCCATAGGCATCAATATGGAGTCGGTCCCCCCTTTGTAGCTATAACAGCTGCCACTCTTCTGGGAAGGCTTTCCAAAAAATTTTGGAGTGTGTCTGAGGGATTTTTTGCCCATTCATCCAGAAGAGCATTTGTGAGGTCAGGCACTGATGATACAAAGGGGGGACCAGCTCCATATTGATGCCTAAGGATTTATTGTGAGATGTCATAAAAGTTCCTCTAGGTGTAATGGTCAGGTGTCCTAGTACTTTTG